GTGTGTGTGTGTGTGTGTGTGTGTGTGTGTGTGTGTGTGTGTGTGTGTGTGTGTGTGTTTGACTCTATAGATCTGAATTAAGTAAAATAAAATAATCCCAAAGCAGAAACTGTACATGTTCAACAAGACTTTGACTTTTTAAGTCCTCTGTTAAATCTGAGTAAAATTACAAACTGACTGAAATAAACCAGATTTTTTTTAAATAATTGATATAATCTTCACACAGCTTCCTCCTTCTGCCAGTTAATGATGTTTATGTTGTGGGTTTATGAGGATAAAAGTCATCAGGACATTGAAGCTGACGCATTAAAGTCATTTAATTATTCAAACTTGATGTTTGCTTAAGTTCCGAGTTTTTGTCCAATTATTGCACATTATCAGAACACAGAAACTCTTCTGTAAACTTAGGAGGGACGTGGATCCGTCCTGGACCTACGCGTTCCCATCCAGACCTCAGAACCAGATGAGTATCCAGGAGGACTCGTGTTCTGGACTCTGAGGTCCCGTTTGAGGCCTGAAAATGACAGATCTTGTGTTTATACGACAAAAGGTCAAGCGGACAGAAAGGTGTCACACCTGAAACTTCACATCCGCGGGGGGAGAAACTGAGACAAACGAGGCGCTCATCATCCTGATAAGCTCATCTGGGAGGTTTTAAAGGCGTTAAAGCTGGAAGTTGGTGGTTTGATCAGAGCCTGAGCGCCACAAGGACGCAGGAGAGCTGGAGAGCTGCGACCGAACACCGGCAGCGGAGAGCCGGAGCGCACGCAGCGGAGAGGACCGCTCCTCCACCCGGCAGCTCTCCTCCGGCTCCTCTGCCGGCGCGAGCTCGCCTTCTMGGGCTTTTAAAGCCTCCACAGCTCCCCTCCTTTTAATTGATTTTCTCATAATTAACTCAGTCTGTCCATCGATTTCCTTTCGGCGGCGGGTAAACCCTCCATCCTGCGGTGGGATTGTGCTTTCTACGGGTGCCGACGAGCAGATATCGACCACATTGATTAAGAAGCCCACAGCGCAGGAGAGACCTGGCAGCGAGCCTCTACAGGCTGCAGAATGCTCGCTAATAACAGCGCAGGTTGCGCAAACGACCTGTGCGCAAAACCTTGACGGAGCGCTTCCAGTTTGGATTGACGCAACAACGAGCAATCAACACAAAAATAGTCTAAACAAATTCATAAATGTCGATCAGAAACCCCCCAAAATCACCACACATGGGTTCAAAATCAAACAATGCATTCAGGACAAGCATCAGCCTGTTTTTCAGCTCGTTTATATCAGACAAAGCGTGTGCGCAATGATCGTGGAACAACACAAATTACACGTGAAGGTGCAGCGCGCGCCTTGACGCTCCGCACACCAGCAGCAGCACATTCAGAATCAAATATTCCCGCGATGATCTGCAACATGCAGAGCAGGAGAGGAGACACGACGCTATTCGTCCACGGAGCAAGGGAGGAGAGGAGAGAGAGAGGGAGCGCGCGAGAGAGACAGAGAGGAGGAGAGTCAGAGCGCGAGGGCTGTCCCGGCCATATTCACTCCTGTCTAATCAATAAAAAGAAAGGAAAAGAAAAAGAGAGGAAAAAGCCCAGCCCCAAATAACAACAGTAACAACAACAGAATCATTAGGAGCGATATTTCTCTGCTGTCTGCAACTGGACAGAACTGAACAAGACTGTGATTTCAGGGAAGAAAAGAGGGGGAGCAGATGTGAGCAGGAAGAGAAGGCTTCTTGTTTATTATTAGTATTATTGTTACCAGTGCTTCCATCGGTGAACGTCTCCATCCCCGCCACGCGAGCAGCCTGTCTGGACAAGAGGGAGGGATGGAGAGCTGAAGGCAGGGGAAGGTGAAAGGCGGGGTGATAGGGGGGCCGCCTGGACCGGGGCTGGGGGCTCAGCTTTWAAACTGGGAGGTGGTGCTGATGGTGCTGATGGCGGGGGGATATGGTAACACCCTAACCTTTCATGTCTCCCCCTCTTTCTTTCTGTGTCCCTCGTTGCCCCCCACCCCCCACCATCCTCCATCTCTCACCCTGGACGTGTGTCTCTCAGCGGTTTCCATGACAACCCGATGGCTGTGGTGATGCTGCTGGGGAGAAAGAGGCGCGTGCGTGWTAGTGGAAGAAAAAAAAGACAGTCATTTTGTTGGGATTCAGCCAGACAAAGCAGGGGAAAAAAAGGACTAATTATTATAAGATTTCATAAATTCCACTCACAAGTGATGTTTACATTCTGACTGATAGGTCCTGACCCTGCAGAATAAATGATTAAATTATTTACGAAGAAAAATGGCTTATTTAGGTAAAACGTTGAAATAGTTGGTTTCCTAACAGGTTTTAGGCCAAGTTCTACAACTTCTTCAGCTGATTCTGATGCATACTCACCATGAACTCCTGCTGTTTTGAATGTGAAGCATGTTGAGCAGCATGCATCAGTGTGCTGCCACCTGCAGGCCGAACAACCAAAACAAACTGTTACTTGTGTCAGATACACGATCCCAAATGACTGTAACATCACAAAGAAGGAACACAAGATGCTCGGAAACACCAAGGGCACAAAAAGGAAATGCAGGAGTTGTGCAAAGTCAAGACCTCATGCAGTCGGTGGTTTGGAGCACTGCAGACTGTGACCTCTCAGATTAGAAGAGTGGTTCAACAGAACGGCAGGAACAGCTAAGACACAGAACCTCCCAAGTGGAAAAAAGGAAGAGCCGAGTGTTTATGATGATGATGAACATCAATTTTTACCTTTAATTGAAATTAGCTCAAGCAGTTACAGTTTTTTTTTTTTACCATTTGTCCATTATCTTTTTACCTGCTTCTTCCTTTTTGAGTCACAGGGGTCATCTCCAGCAGCCACAGTGCGAGGGGCGGGGTACACCCTGGACAGGTTGCAAGTCCATCACAGGAACACAGTGAGACAAACAAACAACATTCTTTCACTCAGGGACAGAGTTACCAATTAGCGTAACGGTCATGTTTTGGTCTGTGAGAAGAAACCAGGCCTACCTGAAGAAAACCCACACATGCACAGAGAGAACATGCAGGTCCCCCACCTGGTTTTGATCCAACAGTTTTGAGCCCACATTATTTTTAAACAGCAGTGAAATATTTCTAAATATTCTAGTACACATACTGACATTTTTTATGATGAAGTTCAATCAATTGTATTATTTTATTAAAACAACCAGGTGCTTTTCCAAAAAGCTAAAATAAAATTTGTCGATTCAGGCAAACATCCTAGTTTAACATCAGTTAATTAACCAAATCAACCTAACTGAAATAAATTACTGAACTCATGCAACATAATTATTTTTCATTTAGCCTGAACTGATCTGCAAGTTATGGGTTCATTAGTCAATCGAGCTCAGGTAAATTGATTAATTAAAGTTTTAATCAAGACAGAAGGCAATGGCGTAACTTTAGGTATAGACGCCCTGTGGGGTGGGGGGGAGGGTTAATGTGTGCCTATTTCTTATTGAATCATTACTTTTGTAAAATGATTCAGGATATTATGGTGTTAAAATACATTGTAATGCTTTTACTGTGTAACAATTAAGCAGTTCTATTCTTAGAGCGAATGATGTAATATTATGTGAAGGGGGGGTATGCTGAGTGGATCAAATTATTGTGAAGTCATAACACTCCTAACCCCCTCCCCTACAAATGATGCTCATGATTACATATATATGTTTTCTGTTAATGTATGTTAGGCAGCCCTTTCTCTTGTATGTTTAAGCTGAAGCATGATACAGTGTAAACTGAACAAAAGGCTCCTCAAGTTCCTTTCTATTTCTGAACAAAACGCTGTCACACGTTGAGGCAAAATTACAAGGAATCTATAAGGACTGACAACGAACATCCACTGTGGGCTATAATGATGGAAGACAGCTTTAAAGAAAGACCTTATTAATTTTTTTTCTCCTCAAGAAAAAAATTTCTCCCATCAGAAGAATGTGCGATGTGCTGCAGGGTATACATACAGTAACAGCAACCCCCGCAGGTCGACACAAAGCTATAGTGTCTATCAGCCTCAGATGACACGTTTCGATAGCAGACTGATTTAAGCTTCAGCTACCACGAGATGACTTGAGTCTCCATCCAATCAAGGCAGTAGGAGGAACACCTGCGGACAGTGGAATAAAGTCTACAAGAGAATGATGAGCGCTCCCCTGCCACACAAAACTGGCGCTACATTAGCTTTTGTACCCTGACACCATTTGCACCGAGGAACACAAAACCACCTCTGATGTCTCACTGAAGTGGTTTAGAAAACAAACTGAACATTCATTTCACCAAATGTCCAGTGATGTGATGATAAAACAATAAGAAGAAAAAAAAACAAGGGGAGTTTTATTCCAAGTTATTCCCTGCTGGAAGTGATGGAAAGTGTGTTGAAAGTGATAAATTCATTAAAAAGAAATATGGATTCAAGATTAGAAGTAGTATTCATCAAGGTTTTCTTGGTTTGGGCTCCTTGTCTGTCAAAATCTTAACCTTTTTGTAGACCTAAACACAAACCTGTAATACAAAGATTGACAAAGAAAAGTTTATTAAACAGGGTTAGAATGTGCTTAAATAAAAATATTTTAAATTTTTTTCAAAACCGTTTTGGTCCTAAATTAAAAAGTTAACTATACCAGGTAAGATATTCACTGCTAACAACCTTTTCGCAGAACCCCATCAAAAGGAAAGCAGGGTCCTGTAACCTTGTCTGATCAGTGGTTGTGAAAATATCAATTTATTGTTTGAATATAAGAATCACCAAAGCAAGTCAATTTAAATAATTCAAACTCTATAACTTGTTTCTTTTTTCCTTTTATAAATAAAAATTGCAACTATTTGCTTTTATTTTGATAAAGAGATAAAGGTTGTACACATCTAATGGAGCAGGATTGGGGGTTCTTAGTTTGGCTTGGAAGTAAGAAAGGGGGGCTTTGAGGAAAATAGTTTGTGAAACATTGATCTAAACTTTTGCTTTGTCCCCACTGTTAAAGAGTCTCCATGCTTTGCTAGAATAAAGATATTCCCATGCAGATGTAAAAACAATCATTTCYGGTGTCAGACTTGTTTAAATTGACTTGGTTTGCTATTTGCAAGCAGGACTGGACTTGAAATAATCTCTTGAAAAGTCTGGGTGAAATGGGAAAAGAACATACGACTGAAGATTAACTAATGAGCCAGAATTTAAAAAGAGAATAGGTGAAGKGCATCCTGATGAAAAAGTTTGTTTAGATGCATTTCTTGTCCTTGGAAGTCTGTGAGCAAAACGCTCCTGAGTGCTCCACATATGCACCTCATTTTTCCACCGAACAGATCTCTCATGGAAAGGCCCGCCACGAGGGAATCGTGGTTCTGAGAACACCGCAGCATCATTTGAGCTGGACCTCTGTAGTTCTGCAGACTTCTCAGACAAAGTGCCTGAGAGGCTACCTGTGGGCATCACATCACTGCTCTCGCTTTAAGGCTGGGTGTGATGAGAACTGGGGATTTCTAAAAAAAAGGAAGAAAAAAAAATAAACTCCCAGTTTTCCCCAAGGCGAGCCTGAGGCAGTTTAGCTGGCCATCAAACAGGGCATATACTCTAAACACCCCCATCAGGTGTCTCCCAGAGGGCTGGACCCTCTTACTGTTCTTCATGATGGAAGCTCAATAATATAACCATTTGTACACAAAGCAGCCTTTTAGAAGCTGGGTGCTCCTAACTGACCTGACAACGAGGCCATGCTTAAAGCTGACTGACACTGTGACACAACGCAACGATGAAACCAACATTTTAAAAACATAAGACAATAAATGTATTTATGTTCTATATCTGCAGACATTTTAATGCATTATAAATGCACGTATCTTCTGTTCAACAGTCTTCCGAGTATTTTAACTTGAGCYGAATTTTATTAGGTTTGTAAAGATGTCTGTTTTTAAATGCCAAATTGTGYAGCTAAAATGCTGAGAGGACATTTTATAAAGTCCTGACGTATCTCAGTGATTCAGGTAGAAAAACAAAAGCTTAGGTGTTTTGGATGATTTCTTTTGAAATGGTTATATTGTCCTTCCATCAAGAAACCATCCAGAAAATGTACTTTTTTTACATTTTATTGTTACTCTTTAGCTGACACCTACATAAATATTTAAAAATAAAAAGAACATTTTTGCTTCTTCTAATGAATGATTGAAGCGTGATGATTTGTCTTCAATGGACTTCATTATATTATTTGGGTCAGATAAAGKGTACTTTAACTTGACCATAATAAGACAGTTCAGTAAATTGCTTAATAACTAAAATTAACATGATGTAAATACTATTTTTAAACAGAAGTACTTTATTTAGTTTCCCAGTCAATGAACAGAACCAGGATGAGACCTTTCAATTTTTATTTTTCACCAGAAATAATTTCCACTTTTATAAAGATTTACAGAAAGTTATAAAAAAAAGAAAAGAAAAAAACCTTAACAAAAATGTTCCCTGGAATCAGAGAACAACACAAACATACAATAATTACTTTTACCAAAACCACAGAAAAATAAACATAGAAATGTGTCCATTGTTCACCCAGGTCTCTCAGCTTGGCCCTGCAGAGACTTTCACTTCAGACACTGTCTGCTTGCTTAAGTCGTGCCAGTATGAAGGGACTTAAGAGTGAGGCCTTATTGATCGTCTTCTATGAGTGAAGTCCAGGCATTAGTTCCAGCAGGGTGAGTAGACAGCTGTCTGTGAGCCACTCTACTGGGCCAACATGGCAGGGCTGAGTGGAGCTGGGATGTGCACTTTTGATTTTGATCTCTCCAACATCACTTCTATTGACTGACGCACTGTCCTGTGCTTTACTTGCTGAGAGGAGCACTTGCTGAGGCCTCGTTGGAAGCCCAGACACAAGCCACCGTTGCATTATCAGGGATGCTCCTGACAAGCTTGTGATGATGAATCTTCCATGGTCTGCTGAGATCCATCCCTAATCACTGCTGTCATCTACCGTATCCACTGACCACGGCAAACACGAGGTGGGTTATCATGGTGCACAGGACTGAGAATTCCAGTGTTATCTAGTTGTGAATTTCACTTTTAGGCTCTCCAAAGTTGGACACAAAAGTCAAACTGTGGTAAAAAGCCCCTCCCCCCCCTCTTCCATGCTTATTTCTAACGTTTGTTTTACAAAAATCAGATGTGCTTTTGCTCTCCCCCCTTTTTTTAACATTTAAACTGTTTTTTAAAATAAGGCAATTTCTTTCTAAGATTTGAGTTAAATCAAAAATAATTAAACTTTTTTCCGTGGTGGTGTTGCAGGTAAGAC